CCACGATATATTAGAATTTGGTTCGGATTCACAGATCTGTTAAATAAATAATTATTTTATATGTTAGCATTTTAATATATTATTTATCAATGTCTAGTGTTTGAGTGAACTACCTGAAATCCAATTACTTTTAATCTGTAAGGTCTGGCTATGGAATAATAGAGTGATCAAAAAATTAGTTAATGGATATATTTTAAGAATGATTAAATCTAGTCTGGAATGACTGCAGGTACAAATACAGCTCTAAATGAGATAGTTGGGACCTTATCAGAGCAAGTGGAAAAATCCAGAGCTATTTCTCAAAATAATGCTAAAAGTCAACTGTTTTCCACTTTACTAGAAATGGCTAAATGTTCATAAATCATAAGAAATGCCATTGCATCAACTACTTCAAGGTATATACAGTATACACTATGTACTATACCCTACATCAAAATCACATGTAGACTATTGGTTCCTTTGACTTTTTTACTCCTATGGGTTTGGTCTGATAAGGTCCCAACTGTTTAATTCGGATCTTCATTTCTACAAATTGCATGCGAGTATTTATGGTTTAGTTTCTTAATTTAAAGTTACTGAATCATAGATAATAATATGCAGTTATTCCAGACTAATTTTATGCATATCAAAACAATCTTAAACTATATCTCAGTTAATTAACTTTTGATCCATTCTTGTTGGACACCATAAATTTAGTTTACATAATTCATATTTCAGAACTTTAAAATATCTGGTTTAGAAAAGCAAAATTTCTATTTAAATAAGTTTAGAAATAAAGTTTAATCTTTAATTTTTGAAGATCAGATATCAGGTTTTTCACTATTTCTTAATGGAAATGGAAAGAAATAAATTGAATGACCAACTTCTGGTTTTATTGGAGGTCCAATAACAATATCTTTTGAACAGAAATCACTGATGGATAATTGTGATGTGTTTATAGACGTTGCCCATTGATCTTCAAACTGTTCGGGTGTGTAATATCCACAGTCAGTTACACTAGTTTTAATTTCATAATCTTCACATTTACCATCTCCTTTATGCCAGTAACATAGACTTGGTTCACCTAAAATTTTAGCAATTATTCATTAAAATTAAATATTTAAAGAAACAGTTTAATATTTTAATAGATTTAGTTTACCATAACACATATATGATTCTTCCATTTCACAATTCATATTGCATCCATCGTTATTTGCTAAATTTCCATCATCGCACTGCTCTTGTCTTGAAAGATGATTACTTTTAAAATTTATTATAATTTAAAATTTTCATATATATATTAGCATATATTCACCCATTAATCTTTCCATCACCACAGAAATTATCTCCATGTTTAATTCTGAGGGGTGATGACATGTGAGATGAATAATTTGGTATCAGTGCTTGAACAGTGTAAGTATAAACTTCTCCAAATTTGACATCACTGAAATGTGAATTTAAAAGTAAATTTTACACAGAAAAGTTTGGAATAATTTGTAAAATGTATAAAGTAAAATTATAAGAAATACAGATAATAACAAATACATTGATAAAAATAATTTGTATTTTAACATTTGGATAATAGTGCAATTCTGTAATTTCAAAAAACTACTTATAATAATTTAATCTTAATACAAAACATATCAACAGTTTAAAAAGTTTTACTTCTGTTAACCAGAAACAATTCAAGTTCACTTTATAAATTTATCTTGTCTTTAATTTTTGGCATTGTTAATTTTAAACAGCACTTTAAACAATGCATTTGTATGTTAAAACTTTTTAATAAATGTAATTTATATAAGCAAATAATTTCAATGGTGCTTTACCATCTTCATCAGGCAAAGCACCATTCATAAGCTTATTTTGTGTTTATTAAAAGTTTTAATGCCAGTTGTTTAGAGTGTTTAATCATTTTGGCATCATGTGTAAGTTTCAATATTTTTATTGTTAATTTTACAAGAATAAAATGAAGATGTGTAGACAATTCAGGATATTATTAATGCTATACAGAACAAGTATGGTGCCTAATTAATTACATGAAGTTACCAAAAAATAGGCTTGTTGATTATATCAAACTGTAAATTGTCAAGGTTTCATTATTTTTTAAATTTCAAAACAAATAAAAATACTTTATATATTTATGTATGAGCTTGAATACAATATACAGTGGGTGATCTGTTAACGAACAGATTGGATAACAAACACTTTCGCAAAAAATTTTTATGTTCGGACAACGAACACATGATCGAATAATGAACACCCCACAGAACAAACACAAGAAGAAGCGACATAAAATAATGAATACCGATTGGTCTTTCATTGTCTTCGGGCAACAATTTGAAACTTTTCGACATCAACTCTCAAGCCGGTATATACTGATTGGATAGTATTTCTCTGAACTTTGAAACTTTCCCTTGTGATTCCAGCCTTTTATTTTTCTGACAAAACAATTTTTTTGTGTATTCCCGAGACTGTCGGGTGGGCACTCGTTAAGTTTTGCATCTGTTTTTCTTTTCGAAAGGTGAGAGTATAATAGCAAAGGTAGAGAATGGGCAGAAGATGCCTAATGTTGCTGGGTTATATGGCGTGAACAGGTATATATACAATAGGCCTCAGTTCAATCTTATTTAAGAAAAATACTATATAATCAAGAAGACTCAAGCAGCTAAAGGAGTAACAAAAATCACATTTGAGAAATAACGAGCATTGAAAAGCTCATAATGGAACCTGAAATTGATCTAATGACAGAAGAAAGCCAAGAACCCTTGAATGAAGAACACCAAGAAACTCAGCGAGATATGTTTTCTTCTGAAAAAGAGGATTAATGCCGATATCTGTTATTAAAGATCCTTTGAAGAAGTGGGACGATGTCAGAACAACGGTCTTAGAATGGCATCCAAACCGGGTTGAGGCTTGGTGATTTCTACAATTGCAATGCTATTAATTACTTACGAAAAATCCTGAAGAAGAGAGAAAAGCAATCGACATTAGACAGATTCTTTAACCTTTTCAAACGGAAAAAACATGACTAATAAAAATGCAAGACTGAGTATGTATGTATTTTTATTATTACATATAAATAAACGTAGTAAGAAAGTATATATTTTTTATTTTTGGGGTCTCCAGAACGAATTAATTAAATTCCCATTAAAACCTATGGTAAATCGTTAATCGGTTAANCCAAAAAATAAAAAATATATACTTTCTTACTATATTTATTTATATGTAATAGTAAAAGTACATATATACACAATCTTGCATTTTTATTAGTCATGTTTTTTCCATTTGTGGGCATTAAAGAATCTGTCCAATGTCGATTGCTTTTCTCGCTCCTTCAGGATTTTTTGGACGTAATTAATAGCATTGCAATTGTAGAGATCCCCAACCTCATTCTGGTTTGGAAAACCATTGTTCTGACTTTCTCCCACTTCTTCAAAAGATCTTTAATAACAGACATTGGCATTGGTCCTCTTTTGTTTTCTTTTTAAAAAAAAAAAAAAAGAAAAAAACCATCTCACTGAGTTTCATGGTGTTCTTCATTTGAGAGTTCTTGGAGTTCTTCTGTCGTCACATCAGTTTCAGGTTCCATTATGAGCTCTTCAATGCTCTTTATTTCTCAGATGTGATTTTCATTACTCTTTTAGCTGCTTGAGACTTCTTGACATATCTTACATAGCTAAGATTGCGCCTACTGTATTCAAGCCATACTGCCTAGCAACATCAGACATCTTCTGCCCACTCTCTACTTTGGCTATTATCTCTTGCTTGGTTTTTATGGTGAGCATAGTTCTTGACACTCCACTCTTTTTAGGCTCCATAATATTATCAGTTTCTTTTCTAAATAAAAAGTTCAGAAAAGCACTTACAAAAATTCAGAGAACAGAAATGAACTAGTATACAAAAACATTATTTAAATGTGAGGTCTGGAAAAAATTCGAAATTTGGTGTTAAAACCGATGGGACAGTTAAACTCTCACCATTCGAAAATTAAAAACCAATGCAAAACTTAGTGCCTGCCTGCCTGACAGTCTCACGAAGACCATAAAAAATTATTTGTCAGAAAAGGAACAAAAAGCTGGAATTATAAGGAAAAGTTTCAAAATTCGGAGGAATACTATCTGATCGGTATTTGGTTGAGCATCGATGTCGATGTTTTCAAAGCTCTGAAAAATTTCGAATTGTCACCTAAAGACAAGGGAAGACCAATAGTATTCACTATTTTATGTCGCTTCTTTTTCTGTTTGTTTTGTGAAGTGTTCGTTATCCAAACATGTGTTCATTTTCGAACATAAAAATCTTTCACGAAAGTGTTCGTTCCGATTTGTTCATTGTCTGAATTGTTTGTTATCTGATCACCCACTGTATTTGCGAGTAGGCCGTAATCTTGCTTTCTCACATGCACTTAACTTCTACTCGCTTCCAGAATCTGATTCTTCAAATTTTTTTTTTTTTTTTTTTTTTTTTTTTTTTTTTTTTTTTTTTTTTTTTTTTTTTTTTTTTGAGAAATCTATCCATTTTACATTGAGTGTATTTATCTAAAAATAATATAATCATGTGTTAATAATAAATATAATAATGATGTGATAACAAAAAGAGCAGTATTTTCATAATGAAATGCTATAATAGAGTAACTATATTTATTTTTATATTGTGCACATATTTCTCTGGAATACCATAGGGCACACACTTTCAGAACCACTGATCTAGATAATGACAAATGTTTTTGATCCTTCAGCTGGATCTTCTTCAAGTCAAACATAAACATTGCATTTTAAAAATATTCTGTTAATCAAATGCAGGTTAAATTCACTGTTTGATGTGTTATTATAAAAGTGGGACACAAGATATTAAACCAATTCCAAACTGTTATTTCTTTAAATTTAACATTAATTTTGGTTAATGGAACATATTTAAAATGCAATGTTTGTGTTGAAATAAAATAGAAAATTTTACTGATATTTTAAAATATTTTTAGTTAAAATTTCAGAAATTGAATTTTAAAACATTTTTTATAATTTTAGGGCGTCCTGAAAAAATACCAGATGTTTGTTATTCTTGGTGGGTTTTATCATCATTAAAAATTCTTGGTTGCCTTCATTGGATTGATAAGGTATTTTTCATCCTTTAATATAATAAGTTTGTTTTGAATCAATTATCTATATATATAATCGAGACAAGTTGATAATAATAAGCGCAGAGCCCAAACGGTTAGGAGTTGAAAGCTGAAATTTGGTACATAGTCAGGGTACGTCACGAAAACGCACACTGAGAAGGGATTTTTCGAAATACCTCCTCATGGGGGAGAGGGACAGGATTAAGGCTTAACACTTCCATCAACAATGGAAGTGTTAAGCCTTAACACTGTTACTTAAGCATTGTTACTTAACACTTCCATCAACAATGGAAGTGTTAAGCCTTAATGTTAAGTGTTAAGCCTTAAGTAACAATGGAAGTGTCAAGTAACAATGGAGGTGTCAACAGTGGAAGTGTTACGTAACAATGGAATTGTTAAGAGAAAGCGATGTGCAAGACACAGATGCAGTTTTTTCGTTTTTGTGGGAAATCGAACATATTATCCATCTAAAAATTCTCTAATTAGTCCAGAAACAGGGAAACCCGATTCTTGCATTCTGTGACGGGTAAGGTTGACTATAACGTAATAATCTTAATCTTTGCTATCGTTACTTTTTGCCCGAGCAACGCTGGGCCTACCTGCTAGTATATAATAATTTTTTAAATCTAAAACAGTTAAGGAAATTAAAAAATAGTTCTGATATAGTAAAAACTTATTAAAATTGTTTAGTAAAAGATTCACAAAGAGTTTGCAATTTTCAGAAAAACATGAGAATAATATATTTTTATTTATTGCTGATGTATTTTTTAGCACTTGTACGATTGTAAATGAAATATTTCTTTTAAATTACAAAGAAAAATACAAGAAAACAAATACTTAATACTTTTTTTTAGAAGCCAGGTTGGAATATTTTTTAATCAGTATAAACATTTTCAGAATTTATCATTTTAGCATCATAGCCTTCTTGAAACAAAAATTTATTTTTGTTTCAAGAAGGCTCTCAACAACTTTGAACATTAAATGTATATGTGAAGTAGATAACCTTTAGATTTCTAATGAATATTAACAAATTTGCATGAATCCAAGCAGCTTTTAAATTTATTTAAAATTCAAACATAAATAAGTATTAATCGGGGCCTTCTGTCCCTAAGCTTTCTATACTTGGACTTGAATTTCATTTATCTAACACAGTTCTCAAGATTAAGACAGACAGACAGACAGGTGATAGTGGGAATTTATAGATTATAGGTCTACTATTTTTTTTCAAATTGCAGCTCAATAAAAGATCTATCAGATGGTTCAATTATATTTTATTTATTTATTTATGTTTATATATTTAATTTTTAGGCTTAATTCATTTATTCAGGTTACTGTTTTTTGTTTTTTTACAGCTATAGATTTATTTCATATTATACATTTTTTAAATGTTATAAATTTAAATAAATTTAAGAGCCGCTCCATTCATGCAAGGTTGTTAATGCTGTTTAAAAATCTAAAGGATATTTGGATAACAAAGCTGTTAATGTTTGATTTTTGAATTTTTGTTTTGTAGAGGTTGTGATGCTGGCATACTAAATTCCAAAAATGTAAATCCTGATTAAAAATACAAATGTAAACATACCAATCTGATAGTTATATACTAAATCCAAATAATTGCTATATATTGGGCTATATTACTATTATTAATTAAATTCTAAGTAATTTGGTACTAGAGGCAGGCATTAGGCACCATCTATTGCTAAATTTAATAATTATAATTAAACTGAACTGAATAAAAATTAAGATAAAAAATGCCAAGTGATCAAGTGATTGCACTACATAGTGTTGAAAAATGGAACAAATAACGACATGATTTCAAAATTACTAATTATAATTAAATCAATACAGTATAATATAGGTACAAGTAAGTAACATCATCATAAATATGATCAATTTCTTTAACTGTACGACATTCTTACTTGTATATTTCTGTTAAGTTATTCTAATTGTAATAAAATAACTCTTCTTAACCAACCATCCATTTTTAATATTGAAAGAGAATGAGTTTTGTGTTAGACAGCTTCCATCTCTCCTCTCTTTTTTTATTCCACAACATATCTAAGTTCTTTTACAACCATCCATCTTAGCTGATACTATTTAATAGTTTGTGAGACATTGCAATTTTTAAAATTTATTTAAAAACTAAAATTGTTGTTGTATACTATAAATTATACAGTTTACAGTTATCATTATCATTACAAATATCAAAATTTTGAAGGTATTAACAGAACTGTTAATTTATTATAATGAAAAAGCTTTTGGTATGTATAAAAGTTAAGAACAAGAAAGAAAAAATATTGAGTTTAATATTTACTTATTTTATGATCTTGTATAAGTGACATGTGGAAACTGAAAGAGATTAAATATTTAATTTCAGGATAAACTTATTCGATTTATTCTTGCCTGCCAGGATGAAGAAACAGGTGGATTTTCTGATAGGCCTGGAGATATGGTAAGAGTTTTAATGTAATTCAATTTATAATTTACAAAATGAATTATAAAATAAGAGGTTCGTAAAAAAATTGTTTGCAGGTGGATCCTTTCCATACACTGTTTGGATTAGCAGGATTATCACTTTTAGGTGATTCTCGAGTAAAACCTGTTAATCCGGTATTTTGTATGCCACAGTATGTCATTGACAGAGTTGGTATTAAAATTCAGCTACTAAATATATAGTATCAAGTTAGATATTTTTATTTTATTAAAACATCTGACAGAATACAGATGATTTTCTTTCTTAATCAAATTTGTTTTTTATTGAAGCATAATCAAATTTAAGTTAAATCACTTGAATCTTGCCTAATGTTTGCATATTAAATTTTAATATGATGTGATGAAAAGGTGATGTTCATTTTGTATATGATGATTTATTTTATATTACAAATTTTGTTTATTTGATAAGAATGAATATATTTAAATGAATTGATGTAAAATATTAAATTTGAAGATTATTTAAAACAGTTGTAAATATTTTTTGAAAATGTGACTTATTTAGAATTGAAAACTGCTATTTGAAGATATCACATAATTTACATTTGAAAATTGTATATTATCAATAAATTATTATTTATTTTCAATTGTTTAATTTTCTGTATAACTTTTTCTAAATAATTAGTTTTGTGTATAAAATTTTTGCAATTAGTTATATTATTTTGAATATTATAGATGTTAATTTTTTTTTATTTTTTTGAAAAGTACTACAGTACTGGACCAAATGTTTGGCAAGCCTGGGACCAGAAGTTGTCTCAATTTCTGGATTTCCTGTTTCTTGGGCACTGGCTAAATATACATTTAAAATATAAAATAAACAATGAAAAGGAATGAACAAAATTACATTTAATAGATACAAATTAACACACTTCTAAAGCAGGGTCTGTTTGGTCTTATAGACATGGTTTATAAATGAAAATTATAAATTCTGACAATTGTGAGAGAATCACCTGCACACAGCAGCAATCACACTATAACTGGCTTTGTGTGATGTGTACATCACAGTAACTAAAGCAAAGTGGCTGTGGTGTGAACTGTAGGTACTACAGCCTGTTAAATTCAAAAATAGATGATTTTCTTGTTGTTCCAGGTTTCTAGAAGCTGGATATTTCATCTATTACAGTAATTGTTTTCAATTATTTAATTGAAAGATGAAATGTTTTGAATTAAATATGTTCATAATTTTATTCTTTGGATACTGTACTTACATTAAATAACCACACTACACAAAAAAACCTTAAAATGCAGTGATAGTTTTTAATCTAACTTTTTCAGTCATTTTTATTGGCCTTCAGGATACCCATTGGACTATCCACTAATTACAAAGACAAACACATTATTGGCAGCTTGGAAAGCATTCCTATATTTGGACTTCAAATGATATTTGGACAAAAGCACAAATGTATGGAGAAGTTACCACAAATAAGTTAATATTTTTAGCATTTTTTATATATATTTTTAATTCATACCAAGTGTATTCAGCACAGAGGCTACAATCTTATTACAATGCCTGAGGTTAAGATTATATTTTAAATTCTTTTGTATTTTTATTGTTTTGGTATTTATTCTACCTTTTTATGTTAGCTGTTTGGTCCATTTATGCATTTTGGTATTTTAGTTGTTTTGTATTTACATATTTAAGTCCAGCATGCTCTCATTTTGAATTTTTTGTTCTAGAATATTAATATATAAATATAAGCATCAGAAATACATTTATGTTCCATTCATTTTGAATGAAGACCATCATTTGATTGCTATTTTTTATTCTGACAAAGGTTAATAAAAATGACCAAAAATGTTAGAAGATTAAAAAGTATTACTGCATTTTAAGGATTTTTCATGGTGTAGTTACGTCATAATTTTCACATTTAAATCTTCATTATTATAAAGATATAATCACATTTTTATAATAGTTTACAGTTGAAAACAAATAATTTGTTTCTAAGATTATTGGTTTTCATTTAGAATTTTAATTCATTAATGTTTTTCCTAAATTATATTTAACTGATTTCAAATTATGTTACAGTCATGTCACTTAACATCTTAAGGGATGTTGTGCAAACAAAATATTATGCATGTACAGTACTTAGCAAAGCTATTTGGGATACTGTAATGTACAGTACCTGTATTGACTAGAGTCAAGCACTGTACACATATGGTATTAATTGAAACTATAAATTTCCCTGCCAAGCTTGACGGACTACTTTCTATGAGAAAGTAGAGATTGAAGAATTGAGAAGAGTACAGATTTCAAGAAATTCAAGAGTTGCTAATGTTTCTACAAATTAGGTAGCCTATACTGCCCATCAAAGCATAGTTAATACACGATAATACCATTTAAATAACAGGCTCGTTAGATCGTCACTTCCAATTGGATAATAAAATATTATGTGGTCACTATAAAAAGTTTTTTTAATTGTTGTAGAAGTGGTGCAATGTGGCTATCTTTTTTAAAGTTTAAATTTAATGAAGTAAATTTAAAATATGCCATTTGCCAAAATATTTAACTTAAGGACTTCTTTAAGTTAAATATTTTGGCAAATGGCAAATTGGCAAATTCTGTCATCAAGCATGAATTAAATGAGGTCACTGATGCCACTTCAACATAAGCATGATCACTGATCCGAAACCGATAAAACATTTATTCTATAGCTGATATTTCTGCAAAATGTTAGTAAATGTAAATTATACCAGACATAGGCAAATGCGGCTCTCGGAGCCGCATTTACCCATGTCTGGTATAAAAAAGAGCCGCATGCAGTTCTTCCTGAAAGTGTTAAATTCTGCTTTTTATTATTATTTTTTTTACAATTTTATTTCCACAATTTTGTGAAAATATGTTTATTAAAAAAATTCAATATTTGTTTTATATTGTATTTATATTATATAATAAAATTGTGGTACAGAATAAAAAAGTATAGAACTGTGGCTCCCATGCATTTTGCAAAACCTACATTTCGGCTCCCACTGAACTCTTGCTTGCCCACCCCTGGCTTATATCAATACTTTCTGTCAGAACATAAAACAAATATAACCAAAATTTCATCTGGTTTGGACAAAAATTGCAGGAGTTACAAGGAATTCACATACACATAGATGACAGCTTTTCATGTTTATTATGTAATTATTCTTGTGTCATAATTTGTTATATATATTTATTTTAAATCTGGAGAAATCTGAAAATTTTAGGACTTTGCAACACTAGTTAAACCTTATGCTTGATAACACATTTACTTCATGTACGGGAAAAGATCAATGTTGCCATGCCCTTAACAAGCTTTTCCCCATATCAACCACATTTTCCCACCAGATTAGGTCAATGTCCCCCAAGATTTTCACAATGATCAAAATTCTCCATTTTCTAACATTATAACATTACTCTCTATTACAGTCTTATGGGACTATGATCATACAGTATATGTGGTAGATGTTATGTGGCACATGACTATATTGGTATTTGACAATATGAAATTAAATCATTATTTGCAGATAAATTTTTTTATTCAAAAGATATAAATCATTTTTAAATATTCTGTATTTTGGATTCAGATATAAAGTTCTCATAAACAAATAAATCTTCAAACAATAATCAAAGTTTTAATGATGGTATCTATTGATTTGAGCCAATCATACTATATTATCTGTTCTGAATAAATAGTTTACTTCATACTGTATAAAATAAAATTCAATAGATTTTAGACGAATGCTATGAATGAATGAATAATATTTTATATCCCTTGGCAGAAGTTAAATTATATTTTATTGAAAAATTGTTTATTTTGGCAAGAAATTAACAATTTTTGGAACTTATATATCAAAAATCAAAAATAATTTATAAATTGTACTTGAAATATTATTTTTAAGTTTTTGTTTACTGTTTAAATTTATTTTTTTAAACACATTGAATTAAAAATTATGATTTGTTTTTAAACAAGAAATGTTTAGAACTGAAGAAATAATTAAAATATTTATTTTTATATAATAAAAATATTTATTAATATATTAATATGTTACAAAATACTACTGAAATATTTTATATAACATAATTTAATGAGATATTTATTAATATCAATAGAAATTTTAAATTTTTAAGTTAAATTAAATAACTTAAGTTTAGTTCATTTTTCAGATCTTAACATTTTTATATCCTTTTAATAATAAGGAAATATATTAGAAAAGAAAATAAACCCTTGAGAAAAATCGTTACTTTCAAGTAATAATCTAAATAATTTTATAGTTAATTTTCTGTAATTGGAATACACTGTGGTCCTTGCCATGATCCATGAGCATCACAAACTGCATAAAACTTTTTTCTGTAAAATAATAACATACATCAGAATGAATATTATACCGTAATACAAATAATTTATTAACAAAATTTAAATCTAAATCAATTTCACTAGAAGTCTAGTTTATAAATTGACATTCTTCCAATACTTCTGGACGGCAAGTGGTCAATTAAAATTTATATATTCTTCTGATTTATTATTTTATTACATTTAAAGCAATATTTAAAATCATAGGAAAGGACAAATTTTATGAACATTTTGACATTAGAATAAGTAACATATATGGCAACATACTATTTGTTTATATGTTAGTAGACAAAATGCAGAAGAGATAAATTATCTTTGGGTTTTAGTGTTAATTGATATTAAAAACTACATAGATATTTTGTCCAATCAGGTGTCAAATGTTTTTGTTTGACAAAGAAATATTAATTTGTAATGATAATTTAAAGGAATTTTGTGAAAAATTTTTTTTAAATATCTCTTCATGTGCCATATAAGGTCATCCTGACATCAGTGATCACCCTGCACAAGTTAATTGGAGATTAGTTTTGCACCAAGGTGAGTCCTGGGGAAAGTTAGTACCAAATTGGTTCCCTCGTTGCCTTCTCTGGTGAGTCGATGTTACACAAGGAGAGAAATGTTTTCTGGGAGGTCTTTTTTAGGGTAACTGGTCCCTATTCAGGCATTACAGATATGGAGAAAACCCAGAAAACTCCACATGTCCAGCCCATCCTGGCACGGCATGAATCCGTGACCAAACTCTCAGTGTTCAGGGACAGCACCACTTGGCCACTGGTGGGTCTTTTTGAATATAACATATGCAAAATATAAAATTTGATTCTTGAAATATAAAATGTTTGATTCTTATAAAATTATTGTGGAATCAGTTAAAATTATAACAGTATTTTGGTGTAGTTTTATAAAGTATCAGCAATGCAGTCAATAAATACACTGAAATTTGTTTACAATTGATAAATATATTTTCTATACATTAGTAATTTATAATTAATCTTAACTTACTTCTTTGGTTGGCCAATTATTTGATATCCTGATTTACATTGGAAATAGCATCTATGTCCGGTTTGAAAACTGTACATTTGACATTGTGTTTTTGAATAAATTATAGAAGGAAGTAATTGAAGAGGAGGACATAATATTTGACATGGTGTATCTGGTATGGACCAAAATCCATCTTCCTCACAAGTAATAGTATTTGCTGTAATATCACCTGTAAATAATCTTATTACAATTTAATCAAAATTGTTAAAAAATGCACTTACAACTGTTTTTACCTTTTAACCGAGCAGGCGACTTGCACTTAAAATTACACGTTTTTCCTAAAGTTGTTCCTTCTGGACAAATGGTGAAAGCATGCATTATTGTGGGTGGACCACAATCTATTGGTTTACAAAGAATTTCTGGCCCAATCCATTTACCATCTATACAGGTGATAACATTGGTTTTTGATTTTTCAGAATAATAACCACTATTACAATTAACGTAACAATAGTCTCCTTCTTTATATCCAGTGCAATTCAACTGATAATTTTTTGATAATGGTTTTGAACATGCCGGCTTCTTACAATTAGAATACATCACACATTTCTGTAATTTCGGACTATATAGTTCTGTTTCTTTGCATTGTCGTATAATAATTGGATTTAAATATTTGGCTGATCTGAGTAAAATTGCTGATATAGATATATCAGATGATTCAAATGTTATGTTTATTTTTGATGTTAAATAAAACTGTCTACTGAGATCGTGAACAATTCGAAATTCAATTGGATTTTGAGAACACGATATAACAGTCTCAGCAGAATAATGAACATTATTATTGGAATCTAAAAGATGAATACTGATTTGATTAGAATTGCTAATGAGTGTTGACTGACCATCTGATCCTATATATAAAAAAATTGATGTAGCAACAACTGGTTTAGAAAATGATGCCAGTAGCCAATAATTTGTCTCTGAAAAATTATCACGAGGATACCACGATATATTAGAATTTGGTTCGGATTCACAGATCTGTTAAATAAATAATTATTTTATATGTTAGCATTTTAATATATTATTTATCAATGTCTAGTGTTTGAGTGAACTACCTGAAATCCAATTACTTTTAATCTGTAAGGTCTGGCTATGGAATAATAGAGTGATCAAAAAATTAGTTAATGGATATATTTTAAGAATGATTAAATCTAGTCTGGAATGACTGCAGGTACAAATACAGCTCTAAATGAGATAGTTGGGACCTTATCAGAGCAAGTGGAAAAATCCAGAGCTATTTCTCAAAATAATGCTAAAAGTCAACTGTTTTCCACTTTACTAGAAATGGCTAAATGTTCATAAATCATAAGAAATGCCATTGCATCAACTACTTCAAGGTATATACAGTATACACTATGTACTATACCCTACATCAAAATCACATGTAGACTATTGGTTCCTTTGACTTTTTTACTCCTATGGGTTTGGTCTGATAAGGTCCCAACTGTTTAATTCGGATCTTCATTTCTACAAATTGCATGCGAGTATTTATGGTTTAGTTTCTTAATTTAAAGTTACTGAATCATAGATAATAATATGCAGTTATTCCAGACTAATTTTATGCATATCAAAACAATCTTAAACTATATCTCAGTTAATTAACTTTTGATCCATTCTTGTTGGACACCATAAATTTAGTTTACATAATTCATATTTCAGAACTTTAAAATATCTGGTTTAGAAAAGCAAAATTTCTATTTAAATAAGTTTAGAAATAAAGTTTAATCTTTAATTTTTGAAGATCAGATATCAGGTTTTTCACTATTTCTTAATGGAAATGGAAAGAAATAAATTGAATGACCAACTTCTGGTTTTATTGGAGGTCCAATAACAATATCTTTTGAACAGAAATCACTGATGGATAATTGTGATGTGTTTATAGACGTTGCCCATTGATCTTCAAACTGTTCGGGTGTGTAATATCCACAGTCAGTTACACTAGTTTTAATTTCATAATCTTCACATTTACCATCTCCTTTATGCCAGTAACATAGACTTGGTTCACCTAAAATTTTAGCAATTATTCATTAAAATTAAATATTTAAAGAAACAGTTTAATATTTTAATAGATTTATTTTACCATAACACATATATGATTCTTCCATTTCACAATTCATATTGCATCCATCGTTATTTGCTAAATTTCCATCATCGCACTGCTCTTGTCTTGAAAGATGATTACTTTTAAAATTTATTATAATTTAAAATTTTCATATATATATTAGCATATATTCACCCATTAATCTTTCCATCACCACAGAAATTATCTCCATGTTTAATTCTGAGGGGTGATGACATGTGAGATGAATAATTTGGTATCAGTGCTTGAACAGTGTAAGTATAAACTTCTCCAAATTTGACATCACTGAAATGTGAATTTAAAAGTAAATTTTACACAGAAAAGTTTGGAATAATTTGTAAAATGTATAAAGTAAAATTATAAGAAATACAGATAATAACAAATACATTGATAAAAATAATTTGTATTTTAACATTTGGATAATAGTGCAATTCTGTAATTTCAAAAAACTACTTATAATAATTTAATCTTAATACAAAACATATCAACAGTTTAAAAAGTTTTACTTCTGTTAACCAGAAACAATTCAAGTTCACTTTATAAATTTATCTTGTCTTTAATTTTTGGCATTGTTAATTTTAAACAGCACTTTAAACAATGCATTTGTATGTTAAAACTTTTTAATAAATGTAATTTATATAAGCAAATAATTTCAATGGTGCTTTACCATCTTCATCAGGCAAAGCACCATTCATAAGCTTATTTTGTGTTTATTAAAAGTTTTAATGCCAGTTGTTTAGAGTGTTTAATCATTTTGGCATCATGTGTAAGTTTCAATATTTTTATTGTTAATTTTACAAGAATAAAATGAAGATGTGTAGACAATTCAGGATATTATTAATGCTATACAGAACAAGTATGGTGCCTAATTAATTACATGAAGTTACCAAAAAATAGGCTTGTTGATTATATCAAACTGTAAATTGTCAAGGTTTCATTATTTTTTAAATTTCAAAACAAATAAAAATACTTTATATATTTATGTATGAGCTTGAATACAATATACAGTGGGTGATCTGTTAACGAACAGATTGGATAACAAACACTTTCGCAAAAAATTTTTATGTTCGGACAACGAACACATGATCGAATAATGAACACCCCACAGAACAAACACAAGAAGAAGCGACATAAAATAATGAATACCGATTGGTCTTTCATTGTCTTCGGGCAACAATTTGAAACTTTTCGACATCAACTCTCAAGCCGGTATATACTGATTGGATAGTATTTCTCTGAACTTTGAAACTTTCCCTTGTGATTCCAGCCTTTTATTTTTCTGACAAAACAATTTTTTTGTGTATTCCCGAGACTGTCGGGTGGGCACTCGTTAAGTTTTGCATCTGTTTTTCTTTTCGAAAGGTGAGAGTATAATAGCAAAGGTAGAGAATGGGCAGAAGATGCCTAATGTTGCTGGGTTATATGGCGTGAACAGGTATATATACAATAGGCCTCAGTTCAATCTTATTTAAGAAAAATACTATATAATCAAGAAGACTCAAGCAGCTAAAGGAGTAACAAAAATCACATTTGAGAAATAACGAGCATTGAAAAGCTCATAATGGAACCTGAAATTGATCTAATGACAGAAGAAAGCCAAGAACCCTTGAATGAAGAACACCAAGAAACTCAGCGAGATATGTTTTCTTCTGAAAAAGAGGATTAATGCCGATATCTGTTATTAAAGATCCTTTGAAGAAGTGGGACGATGTCAGAACAACGGTCTTAGAATGGCATCCAAACCGGGTTGAGGCTTGGTGATTTCTACAATTGCAATGCTATTAATTACTTACGAAAAATCCTGAAGAAGAGAGAAAATCAATCGATATTAGACAGATTCTTTAACCCTTTCAGTATATGAAAAGTATATCAATATGAAAAGTAAAGATTCAAAAAGCCAAGTAAGATAAAGACAAAGAAGATATAAATACAGTAAAGAGTTGAAACCCAAGTTAAAATCATGAAATAAACCATCATAAAATATACCACATACAATATCAGTAGAAATTGCAACAATGAATTTATTTAAGCTTTCTATGAAATATGTATAAATATAAACTGGATGATAGTGTAACAAAACAAATCTTTTTATACCAGCAGTTGATTTAATGAAAACTAAATTCTCAGAGGAGACACAAATGAATCAGCTTGTAGCTAAGTTTGTTTATGTAACATCTGGTCATTATATAAGCTAAGACCACTGATACCCACCCATAACTAATCTACTGTCTAGAAAGAAAATTATTTGACACCTTCCATTCACCCACGTGTGAACTGAGTTTTCACATCAGCAATAAGAATGATAAGCTATATCATCAGATGCAAATCACTCATTTCAACTTCCTACGAAAATCTCATCCTGATTTTTGTGCATCTCCAAAGCCCTAAAAAGTAGTCTATTAATAATTAGAGCTGTGCCAATAACTGATATATCACACTGAAATCAATAAATGTTTACAATATCAATATTCTAGACAAATACTAAAACTATTAAATCAACAGTTTTAGTATACTAATATTTGTTATAAATGATGAATATCAGTATTTGTTAATTATAATAATCACCAACTCTATTTCTTTAAAACATAATAATTTCCCTAGCTGAAGCTGAAGAGGGGCAGTGCCCGAAACATGTAATTGTAACTCATAGCAACTAAATAAAAATGAAAACCGCCAAGTGTTAAAAATAGTAGCACGATTTGTGTTTGTGAATCATATAAATTAATAAAACATGGTTTCAGAAGATTGGTAATAGTGTATTTTATTCTTATTTGATTCAAAAACCACAAAAATAAACATATTAAATTTAAGAAACTCCCTGTAAATTATCTAGGCTTACACTAATTAACATCAGCTTTGTATGAAATTTGAAAGGAAGGTGTTATTTTTAAGGTCAGAATAGGTGGTAAAAGTAGCCCACACTGACTGTCAATAAATCATTAATTGTTTTATTGTCTTGTAAACAAAAACTCTCTTCCTGATTTTAAGTCAAATTACAATGTTATTATTTTATTGTACTCAGAAGAATGTTTTCTTTAATGTTTAATTAACTAGGTTTGTTAGAACTGATTAATTTTATATTTTAGCCACAGTTTAATTGGCATGCTGATAACCCCCGTTTTTATGCAGAATGTTGGTCATTCCACGAAAATATGGTAAGATAACTTATTACAGTGTATATTCTAACATCCAACTGGACACAAAATGTGTAATGGAATTTTGAATCATGCAGTGAGAATCCCATATTTGTGCAATAATTGTCTGATTCTGATTTTTATAAGAATTTCTTTCTTCTAGTTATGTTAAAGTTAAAATATTTACCTAAATTACATAGTGTATGATAAAACCTGTTCAAAATGGAACCTGAATAAAAAGAAAACTAGCTTAAAAAGAAAAAATTCTTTGAAATGGAGCAATTTTCTATGTTGAAAAAGAACCTGTTAAAAATGGAAACCTGCCAAACCAGAAAAAATTTTCAGTACCATGAGATTCTGGTTTACACAGGTTTAACTATATATTTTATTTGGCCCATGAAAAAGAACTATGGTAGGAATGTTGGTAGAATTTACCATTTCAATCAATTATATACAATAAATATATTTTTTTATACACCCACTTCATCAATATTGTCATTTAAATCTATAATCTACAACCACTGTGCACTTATTGTATAGTAAATTGTATCAAATGTAGGTGCACAATGCACACTGCTCATATCTAATAATTAAGATTGAATGGTTACTGAAATTAATAAATAATTACAGTGGGTGATTGGTTAACGAACAGTTCGGGTAGCAAACAAATTGAATAAAGAACACTTTCGAGAAAGATTTTTATGATC